GTAGCGTTGGGATTATAGCGCCCACCGATCACGCGGCCGGCGTAATTTCTTATTTTAGTGGAGACGGGGTTTTCGCCATGTTGGCCAGGGGCTGGTCTCGTAACTCTGACCTCAGGTTGATCCACCCACCCTGGCCTCCCAAAGTGGCTGGGGATTACGGGCAGGCCAGCCGTCCTGGCCTTTGGTATCTAACTCTTTTTCCGAAATCGAGTTGTGGAAGACAAGGTACATACTTATTTAAAGGTCATTTATTTGAGATTTTGCTGAACTATTTTAATGAGTGAATTAAGAAAAACTGATGTTAAACTTTTTTCGGATTTTGTTATTGGATGGTCAGGGGGAATTGGAAAGACCAACATGTAAGTTTCATTGGCTTTCTAAATATTAAGTAATGTACAAGATAATACTGAAATAAATGGTACTATAAGGTTTTCAAAAGTTGTTACAAGACCAGGCTCATATCAGTTTATGTTCTTGTAAAGATAATTAAAATAGGTGGAGGTAAAATGGACAAATAGTTTAAATAGTAGTTTGTTATTCTGCATATAATTTTGCTATAAAGATACTTGTAGTTCATCTCTCTTTTTTTGAGGACTGAGTCTGACTCTGTGTCACCAGGCTGGAGTGCAGTGCGGACGATTTTCAGCTCCTGGCAAGCTCCACCTTGCCCGGGTTCAGCCGCCGTTCTTCCTGCCCAGGCTCCCTGAGGTTGCTGGACCCACAGGGCGCCCGCGCCGCTGAGCCCAGGCTACTAGTTGTAGTATTTTAGTGAGGACGGGTTTCACCGTGTTAGCGCCAGTATGGGTCTCGATCTCTGGGGAGGCCTCGGTATTCCCATCACCCTTGCCTCCCAAATGCTGGGATTACAAAGCATTTGAGCCGACCAGCGCGCGTGGATGGAATTGCATCGTTTTGTGAGAGAAGAAGTGGCGGCGTCTGCGAAGCGCGCCCGGCCCGGGCGGGTGTTTTGAGCGCGCGCAGCGGTGGAGGCGAAGAGCGCAGATCGACTGGAGTGTCGGGAGGGGGGATTGAGGAACCAAATCCGTGGTAACCACGGGGGGGGAAAACCCAGTTCTCTACTAAAAAAATACCAAAACACTAGCCGGGCCGATTGGGAGGTTGAGGCAGGAGAATCGCTTAAACCCAGGAGGCGGAGGTTGCAGTGAGGCGAGATGGTGTCATTGCACTCCACACTGAGTGACAGGAGCGAAACTCCATCTCAAAAACAAAAAAAAAGGATACCATAAATTTAAAAAAATTCCACAGTATATACAAGGCCATCTGACAGCCCAAAATGTAGTTTTTATTTTCATTAAGGTTAAATGTCAGCATGCTTTATTTTTCTTTTTTTTCAAGTCAAGAGTCTTGCTTTGTCTCAAAGGCTGGAGTGCAGACGTGCTATCATGGCTCACTGCAGCTTCAACCTCCTGGTGATCCTTCTGCCTCAGCCTCCTGAGTAGCTGGGACTACAGGCATGCATCTCCACGCCTGGCTAAGTTTTTATTTAGACAGGGTCTCGCTATATTGCCCGGGCTGGTCTCGAATGCCTGGGCTCAAGCAATCCTCCCATCTTGGCTTCCCAAAGTGTTAGGATTACAGTCATGAGCTACCGTGCCCAGTCACAAGCACTTTCAAACTTTTGTTTGATAGTCAGTTATTCTAATAAGTGCTACTTTGTGATTCTTCACAGTTACTGGCTATGAACCTCCAACTACGAAAGAAGAGAATTTAATTCTCTTTCAACCATCTTGAACCCAGTAATGCATAAATATGTAACTAATGTCATTCTCAGTTCTTTCTACATAGTTAAGTCTTCCTTTTGGATAGAACAATAATCAATGTTTAGTTTACTATGCCTATAAAAATATTCTCAGCTAAGCCATAAGTTTTCCCCTATTTAAAACATTTTTTTTTTTTTCCTGGAAATACTGTGTTGCTATTCCCAAGGTTAGTTTCCTATGTAATTGACACTAATTCAGGCTCAGTCTTCTCTGGAATAATATAACTGTCCTCTCAATATATTTAAATACATCAGGAGTTCTGCAGTTTTCATCCCCTTAGTGATATCTTTCCTGGAGCATTCTGACTGTCTCCAAACTGGACTGTTCCCCATATGTGACACACAGGTATCATTCTGGAATTTCTTCTTACCATCATGCTAGGCCGTTCTTCCGCCTGTTTTGAATTAGATACATATTACTAGACCCCATGTCATTCTCTTTCTCTGTTCCTTTGAATCATCTACCTCTTCCAGACCTTCCCCAGAAAAATATCTTTTTGAGACTTTACAAGTCTGAAAATGTTGTTATTCTACCTTCACTTAACTGATAGCTTGGCTGGGTATCTAAGGGTAACAATTTTCACTACAAACTTTGAAGGTGACTGCTCCCTCTCTGCATCCAGTGTTGCTAATGAGAAGCCAAACAAGTTTAATTCCAGATCCTTTGTATGTGACCTAGTTTTTCCTCTCTGGAAATGCTTAGGGTTAAGGATTTATATTGTGTATTCTGAAAGTTCACAATTATGGGGTCTGTCTTCCTTCAATACGTTAGGCACTTGGCAGTCCCTTTCTTTTATCTTTGTTGTAGAGATGAGGTTTTGCTATGTGACCCAGGCTGGCCTGGAACTCCTGGCCTCAAGTGATCCCCATCTCAGTCTCCCAAAGTACAAGGATTAGAGCTATGAGCCACCCTTCCCAGCCAACAGACCCTTTCAATCTAGAAAGTTCTGTCCTTCAACAGAAAATTTCTTTGAACTATGTCTTTGATGATTTTCTATCCTACCTTTTTTTTCCTCATATTATTCTCATACTGGACCTTCTGGATGAATCCCCAGTATTCTTATCTTTACTTGCCTATTTCAACCTCTTTATTTTACTCCTTTTATTGTACTTTCTGGAATATTTCTTAAACTCCATTTTCTATAGTACTGGGTTTTTCCTTTCTACTACATTTAACCTCAACCATAAGGAAATAAATACCAAGCTAAAACAATGAGACTTTTTTTTTTTTGTCTGTCAGTTTTAGCCAATATAAAAAAGTTTCATAATACCTAATGTTGGCTAATGTGGGAAACAATAAAGGCAAACTTCTTTTGGAGACAATATACAATAACTACTCAAATATCACAAACATTTAAACGTCCTGACTCCAGTCTTTTCCCTCTAGATTTCTATCATGCAATTTATACCCTTGTACAAATGTTCAAAAGAATATAGAATAAGCATTCATTTCTTAATAAGCAAAAGAAAAAAAATCTGATATCCAACAGAAGGCCATTTGGTTAATATAAACCATAATATCCTGAAATATGCAACATATTCACAAAACAACTGATCCTAATACGGTGAACCGTTAAAGACTTCCAAATGATTTAGTTGAAACGCAAAGATGGATACATAAGCCAGCGCAGTGGCTCAAAGCCTGTAATCCCGGCACTTTGGGAGGGCGAGACAGGCGCCGTATCATCGAGATCAGGAAGATCCAAAGACCATCCCTGGCTAACCGGATGGAAACCCCCCTCTCTACTAAACTAATAAAAACAAAAAAACTAGCTGGGCGAGTGAACCGGCGGCCTGTTAGTCCAGCTTACCTTGGGAGGCTGGAGGCAGGAGAATGGCAGACACCCTGGGAGGTGAGCTTGCAAGGGAGCTGAGATCCTGCCATGCATCCCACCCTGGGTCCGACGAGCAGGCCTCCGTCTCAAAAAAAAAAAAGATGGTGTACATAATTGTCTTCCTGCTAGCAGTAAGCGTTAATGTGATCCTAATCCTAGGTAGTCTTTTTTTTCCGAATGAGTTTCGCTCTTTTTCCCCAGCTGGAGTGCAATG